CCTTCTTGTGAATAATAAAACCACAACATTAAAAATGGAAAATACAAAGGTTTAATTAAATCAAGAAAATCTAAAGTACTGAGTGGTTTTCAGTAATGTTACATGTTTTATAATAACACAGTCATGCGATGGTTTTATTGTCTTGAAATATTCACATGTTCTACAGTAATTCCTGTATGCCGAATCTGAAAATGATATCCATTTTTCTCCATCACATACAGATTTTTCACAAAATGTCATATATACTTTTACATAATGAGTCATTTTTATTGCAAGAGGATCACATTTGTTATGCTTAAAATGATGACAACCACTGGCTATAGGTTTCTCTAGACCAATCGCGACATGAGAGTTTTTTTTTAGCATTCTAGAACCCAAACATAATAATAAAAAAGTTCATTGTCGTAAATGAAATAATTATTTGATCTAAGTAAGATTTTTTTCTTCCCGATTTGTAAAAAATCCTTACGTGATAGAAGAAAATAAACATTATTTTCGAAATCTGCATAGCTGAATTATGGAAAATCCATTATTAAAACCAAAACAGCTTTTATAAAGTTTAAATTCACAGGCCTGTGTAATTATTGCTGTGATTAATGTAATGTTATTGTTGAGTTAAGTAGTATTCAGTACTCATTTTATCCTATTGTGAGTAGTTATCATAATTTTTGTAGTATAAAGCAGTTTATAAACCTACATAAAGTTATCTTTAGTAGTTAATTCATGTGAAATTTTTTTTCAAGTATTTTATTTGATCATTCTAGAACCCAAACATAATAATAAAAAAAGTTCATTGTAAAAAGTTCATATAACTGTAAAGATTTGGCTTTAATATTACAATTTGTTTTGTATATATATATATAGCTTGAGACCCACCCGGGCTACTATGTTTGGCTAGTTGAACAAAGCAGGGGGCGTTGTACTGTGGCTGCTGAAGAAATTGAGAGAGACTTGCATCGCTCTTTACCAGAACACCCAGCATTTCAGTCAGAAGTAGGAATTAATGCTCTCAGACGAGTTCTCACAGCTTATGCTTGGAGAAATGCAAGTATTGGTGAGTGTACATTAATGGTGTAGAGTATTGGTAAGTGTAGAGTAATAGTATAGATTATTGGTGAGTGTACAGTAATGGTGTAGAGTATTGGTAAGTGTAGAGTAATAGTATAGATTATTGGTGAGTGTACAGTAATGGTGTAGAGTATTGGTGAGTGTACGTTAATGGTGTAGAGTATTGGTGAGTGTACAGTAATGGTGTAGAGTATTGGTGAGTGTACGTTAATGGTGTAGAGTATTGGTGAGTGTACATTAATGGTGTAGAGTATTGGTGA